AAAAAAAAAAAAAAAAAAGGACCCAGAGATAGAGGGAGGGGAGGAGTGAAGAAGGGGAGGAGGAAGGAAGGAAAGGAAGGCAGACCAGCCAGTACTCAGTGACACAGTGAGCTTCGGTGCAGGACCTGGGTTCGAATCCCACCTCTGGCACTTCCTGCGACCCAGAAAGTGGCGCAGCCAGGACCCGAACCCAGCTCCCTCTCACCTCTTGGCGGCTCCATTTCCCACCTGTAAGATGGAGGTATACTATGTTTGCCTCAAGGGGCTGGCAAGGATGAGATAAGAGGACATGTGTAAGGTGAGCTGCAGGCCTGGCACTTCCATAAATAGTGCTCAGTAAGTTTTAGAGATTATTACTGTTACAGCGACAGTAAGAATGGCTTTGCTGAACCAGGGCCCGCGGAGGGAACCGTCCGGAGCACGTGGCCGAGGCAGCCACACTTGGTGTCCGCAGCTTCTCTGGTCCATTCTTCTAGGTCCTATTCCCACCCTGAAGACACAGACGGTCCCTCCTGGCCGTCGACCGGGCCCCCACCTCCCTGGGACGCGGGAAGAGCCTGGAGCCGGTGCCAGCCTGCCCGGAGCCGGTGATGAATGACTTGTTTATCTGCTCCCACCCCTCTCGGTGCCTGGCAGGCAGAGGCCTGGAAGGGGCAGCTGGGAGCGGCGCTGTGGACGGGGGGAGGGCTGGCTCACCAGTCTGTCTGCTGCCCTGCCTCCCTCCTTCCTCCGTTTCCTCCCTTTCAGACTGCTGGGTTCTAGAACAATCTGCCCCACTCCCCAGTTCAGGGTCCATCTCCACCTTAAGCTGCTTCCTGTGCCCCTTGTCCCCGTCTTCCCCAAGCCCCCTGTTTTGGAAGCAGCAAAGTACATCAAAGCAGTTGAAGTGTTTGAAAAACTACAGGTTCTGAAACTTCCTACCTTGTTGGTGGGAAGTAAATTGGTGCAGACACTCCTGGGGACTATATGGAGGTTCCTTAAAAAACTAAAAACAGAGGTACCATATCAATCTGCAGTCCCACTCCTGGGCATAGATCCAGAGGAAACTCTAATTCAAAAAGACACATGCACTTCAATGTTCATAGCAGCACTATTTACAATAGCCAAGACGGGAAACAGCCTAAATGTCCATTGACAGATGACTGGATAAAGAAGTTGTGGTATATTTATACAGTGGAATACCACTCAGCCATAAAAAAGTACGAAATAATGCCAATGCAGCAACATGGATGGACCTGGAGATCGTCACACAAAGTGGTGTAATTCAGATAGAGAAAGACAAATATCATATGACATCACTTATATGTGGAATCTAGAAAAAAAAATGACACAAATGAGCTTATTTACAAAACAGAAACAGACTCATAGACGTAGAAAACTTATGGTTACCAAAGGGGAAAGGGAGGGGAAAGATAAATTTGGAGTTTGGGATTAACAAAGACTAACTACTATATATAAAATAGACAACAAGGTCCTACTGTATAATACAGGGAACTATACTGAATATCTTACAGTAACCTATAATGGAGAAGAATCTGAAAAAGAATATATATATATATATATAACTGAATCATTTTGCTGTAATTAACACAACATTTTATATCAGCTATACTTCAAAAACAACAACAACAACAACAACAAACTGGCCAAAAGAAAGAAAAAAAGAAAGAAAAAAGATGCAGGCTTTGAAATCAGGTAGATCCAGATTCGAGTTCTGCCTCTGACACTTACCAGCTGCGTAAGACCACATCCTCACTTCCTTGACTGGGGAGTGCGGTGACGGCCCTACCTACCTAACAGGGGCTTCATCCTTGAGAAAACAACACTTAAGGACATCTAACTCCTCTTCCCCAAGTCTCCAGAATCTGCCTCTTGGTTAGACACTCCTTTAAGAATCTCTACTTACCCCCCGAGGGTGTGTCTCCAGCACCAGTCTTCCCTCCCCACTTCCTCCCCTGCAAGGTGTCTGGTTCAGTGAGGTTATCATCATCCCATTTGACAGATGACAATGATCATGAAACCTAGGCTGGACTGAAGCAGAGAGGGCTGAGGGGTGATCTGGGGTGGAATCTGGGCTTCTGCCACATCCTCCTGTGTTAGAGCCGGGCAAGTGTCTGAGATGGGTTTGCCTGATCCTGGCAAATCTGTCTTTCCTCCTTCCCTCCTTTTCTCTTCCATCCGTCTTTGGATCAATGCTATGGATCCTTGGTTGCTTGGGTCTTCTCTTCCATGGAGAGGGCCACCACGTCCCAGGTCTGAGAAGCTGTGAGCATCCTCTCAACGGAAGAAGAGCAAGGATCAACCCCAGGGAGAGAAGTTCAACACTATACTTGGCATGGGAAGGGACGTTAAAGGTCGCTGAGCGCCCCCCTGAGGTTCTAAGTGAACGTCCAGCCTCTTTTTGAGGGCTCTAAGGCAGTGTTCTCAACCCAGGGGGCATTTGTGGCTGTCACAACTTCAGGGAAGGTGCTATCGGCATCTAGTGAGTAGCTACCAGGGATGCTGTTAAACATCCTTCAATACACAAGGCAGCCCCCATAACAAAGAATCCCTTGGTCCAAAATGCCAGTAGCGTTACAGATCAAAAACCCTGCTTCAAGGACAGGAAACATCCTGCCCAGGTGCCCAGGTGCCCCAATGTCCATATTTCTCTTAAATTCAAAACTTACTCAGTATAATAGGTGGAAGGATCTGACTGCCCCTTTGGGTCTTCCAGTGGAGTCAGATGGAGCAGTTGTGTGTTGAATTATCCATCATCTTATCATAAATTGCTTTTTAAAAAATTCCTCTTTTATAGCAGAATTAGAGCATTATAATGATTCTTTTTAATGATGTGTGTAGGTAGGTAACATTAACCATGCATTTCATTTTAGTATTCAGTGAAAGGAGTATTACAACATATTTGTTATAAAAACAGGGGATGATGTCTGATAGGTTGAAAACTACTGACCTTCTGAAATTTTTGAATAACATTCGAGAGCTGGTATAATGTCTTCATAGCTGACTAGCCTCGTTGCCCATCACCCTCTTCCCGATCTAGCTTAATACTCAGGCAAGAACCTGATGGTTTCTTAAGCGTGGTGTGCTTATTCCCACCGCAGTGTCTGCTGAGACTGCTGCCGTGGCCTGGAATGCTCCCCCATCCCCGCTCATGCCATGTCAGACCACCTACTCATTCTTCAAAACCCAGCTCACAGGCTGCCGTCTGGATTCCTCCATGTAAAACTACGTGGTCCTTGCCTCCCCACACATTGTAGAAAATAATGGTAATAGTAATTATAGTAATAGAGCTACAGTTTACAGAGCACAGCTGTGCAAGCCACTGTTCTCAGCACTTCATAGGTACTAGCTCATGGCGATCTATGAAATGTAAATTCCTTTTTAAAAAGTTTTTATCAAGAATTGATGGTTTAATGTGACTAATTTTTTTCTCTTTTTTAAATGGAGGTACTGGGGATGGAACCCAGGACCTCAAGCATGCCAAGTGAACACTTTACCATGGAGCCATGCCCACCTCCCTGAAATGTAAACTCTTATTGCCTCATTTTGCAGATGGGAAAGCTAAGGGTTAGGGAAGTTAGGGGATTTGTCCAAATTCTCGGGATTGGTAAGTGGTAGCGTCAGCTGGATGACCCCTAAGCTTGAACCCTTAATGCATCTATCTCTGTGCACCTCTGCTGAGTGAAATGTCCTGCTGTGTCATTACCTATAAGTGGGTTTCCCTGATGATGGGGCTGTGCATTATGGAAGGCAGGACTGAGTTTTTCATTCCTGAACCCCTCGAGACTGACACCCTCAGAGTGGAGTCGCATCTTAACACAGGAATAAGTCAAAGCCCAAATCACATATAGTAAAAAATTATCCCTGGGAATTTTATTAGTGTTCAAATGCTGCTGTGACAAATTACCACAAACTTAGTATCTTAAACAGCACCAGCTTATTATCTCACAATTCTGGAAGTCAGATGTTCTCAATGGGTCTTGCTGGGCTAAAGTCAAGGTGACAGCAGGGCTGACTTCCTTCCAGGTGCTCTAGGGGAGACTCCATTAATGTGCCTTTGCTAACTTCTAGAGCCACCTGCATTTCTTGGCTCATGGCCCTATTACTCTAACATCAAATCCAGCAACATTGGGCCAAACCTTCTCACATTGTCATCTCTCTCGTCCTCTCATTTGATTCCCTCTCTCTTTAGGGTCCCTTGTGATTGCACTAGTCCCACTCAGATAATCTCCTTATTTTGAGAAGAGCTGACTTACAACCTTAATTCCATCTGCAAGTGTAATTGTCCTTTGTTATATAACGTAACACATTCACAGGTTCTGAGGATTAGGAGTAAACATCTTTGAGAGGGACATGATTCTACCCACCCCAGGAATCCTTCAAATTGCCCAAGGAGGTGTAATATACTGAGAAATAGCTTAGGATATTGGTTCACAACATGGATTCTGGAGCAAGATTATTTGCCTCCCAAGCCCAGGTCTACCACTTGAGCTGTGTTACCCTAGGCAAGTTATTTATCTTCTCTGTGCCTCAACTTTGTCCATCTTAAGATGGTATAATAACAACAGTGCTCACTTTGTAGGTTTATAAACCCTTAAGATGATGCCTGACATGTAGTAGATATTATATAGGTGTTTATTTTTAAAATGCATTTTTATGAGCATATCCAGCAGTGGAACAAGATTGTAGTGACTGGCTGAGCCTCAGACAAAGTTGCTGGCTTGTCTGTCACCCAGCTGTGAGGTATCTGGGAAACAGAGACTGACTTGCTGTCTGTTTCTCTCTCACTCCTGGCTATGTGGAAGAGGGTGGTGAACCAACTATACTACTTAAATCATTTATTCTTTAGGTATTGCCAAGTGAGTGGTTGGGTTGGTAAAAATTAACTGTAGATTTGATGGGGCTTCCTTGTAAATATTTGCTGAATGGATGGATCTCCCTTCCTGAGCTCTGGCACCATCACACATCCTTGCACGTGTCTTGCTTGGATGCCCCAAGGAGACAGTCATGGAGAGGGTGAGAAGAGTGGCACCATGTTCTGGCATCTGACAAGTATTTGCACTTCTACAGGGTTGAGAGAGTTCGTTCAGGACCATGGAGAGCAGCTCCAGCAGCCCTCAGCCCACACAGTCAGATCCCCTGGAAGCCTTTCCCCAGAGGACACTGGAGGCAGGTGACATCGCAGTGCTGGTTCTGTACTTCCTCTTTGTCCTTGCCGTTGGACTATGGGTAAGCCAGGCCAGGGGGAGGCAAAGGGGCGGGGCAGGAGACTAGCTCACCGTCAGAAAGTAATCAGAACCTAAAAATTTTTTAAAGTGCATTAAGTGTCGACTGTGTCAAGGACTGTGTTAGGCACTTTGACTTATGTTATCTCGTGTAATCTGCACAGGTCTCTGTGAGTAAGGTGCTATTACTCTACCTATTTTGTAGATAAGGAAAATGAAGCTCAAATAATTTAATTTTCTTATTCTGCTAGTAAGTTAGGAGAGCTGGGGTTAGAATCTCTACTTCTTTCACTTTGAAATCCATGTTCTTTTAAAAAAATGTTTTTAAAAGAGACAATTCAGTCACATGGTTCAGAAACAAAAACAACTAAATAACATACAGTGAAAAGTCTTACTACTACCCTTCTGTCCGCTGTTACTTTTTAGTACATTAATGTATTCTTTCAGAGTTTCTTTAAGTAAATCCAAGCAAATATAAATGTGTATATTTCCCATTTTCTTACATAGAAGGTAGGTTATTATACATACTGTTTTTTACCTTGATATGTTTTACTTATCAGTGTTTCTTGGATATCTTTTCATGTCAGTACACAGAAGCTTCCTCGTCTTCTTAAAAGTTGCACAGTATTCCATTAGATGATCATACTGTAATTTATTTAAACCTGTTTCTTGTTGAAGGTTATTTGGATTGTCCCCCATCTTTTAATACTAAAAGTTATGCTGCAATAAACAAATCTTGGACACATTATTTTGGATATGTGCAACTATAATGAAGGATAAATCCCCTGTAGTGGAATTGTCAGGTTAACGGATATGTGCCTTTGCAATTATGATAGTTTTCATCAAATTGCCCTCTTAGGGGTAGTGCCAGTCTGCACACACATCATTAAATGTATGAGAGAAAGTCACATGATCACATCCACACCAACACTGCATTGTCAAACTTTTTCATTTTGCCAAACTGACAGGGAAACACAATATTTCAATGTATTATTGTTTTATAATAAGTGGGGGTGGACATCCTTA